TATTCTAGAATTGTTGTTGTTGTTCGTTTGTGTGTTCTGACATCAATCCATCCGTGTGAAACTGCGTTCAAAGTTCTGAACAGAGGGCGTTCATCCCGGCAAAGAGCGAGCTGTCGGGAACTCGTAGGTACGCGCCTCCCGAGCTCCTGAGCGGCGCGCTGAAGCACGGTGGGCCCATCGCGGCGTACATCCGCGGGGACATCTACAGCCTGGGTCTGGTGCTGTGGGAGATCGCGATATGCATCGACTTACCGGGTTTGTCAAAACACGCGCGCATTGCCTGCAGGCAAAGAAGCACACGCACGCACACACAAAGATCCCCTCCACGTGAAGCAGCGAGCACCCTCCCTTGTCCACTTTCCACTCCTCCCTCAAGACCCCAGCCTCTTCTCCCTGGCCCCATCCATCGCTCCACCCCTAGGCAGCCACTTTAATTCCCGGACACACTAAACCTCCCTCCCCCCCATACCACATCCCTATTCACCGCATCACCTTTAGCTCCCCTCATTGCACCGCTCGTAACCTTTGTGAAGCGCCTTGGATACAGACGCTTTATAAATACGATCAAAGAAGAACTGTAAAAGCATTTTCACACGGGTGGATTGATTTTGCGAACTTTAAAACTAAAAATTGTCGTGATTCGTGACATTGCGGGCCAGAGGGATGTCCCACTACTCCCGACACACAGCGCCAGCTGTCGTGCCGTGCACGTGTGTAAACATGTGTAAAACATGTGTCGCACCGTCCGATTTGCACGGTTGGCTATGTGCGGTGCGAAAGTTCAACATACACGAACATGCATGGCAGGCCCCGCAGAGCACACGGCCTGCAGTACACGGTCGGCGTGCACATGATATTCTTCTGAGTAATGTTCCAGTCCGTATGCAAGCACGGCTATCTGCAGAGTGAGTGGAAGTGCATGAGTACGTGTACATGTTCTTTGGGTCTTTTGGTAAAATCACGTGGATAGGTTAAAATTAATAATAAAAGAATTACGTTAAAATAATAATGATCGAAACGGCGTAGTTTTTAGTTTATTTTATTAGTTTTATTTTTTTATTTGTATTAATTTTAACCTATCTACGTGACTTTACCGAAAGACCCAAAGAATATGAATTCCTGCAGTCACGAAAGCTCTGAGTCAACATGTGTACATGCTTTCATGCTGTAATAATGTATAAAGTACTTCCTGTATATGTCCTATAAAGAAGGGCCATTGCCAGAAACGTCAACTATTTTCTTTTAAACAGTGCTATTGACAAATGCGTTGAGCTTTGTCGGTGTTGTTAATTTTGTTTGCACTCCACACCACTTCCGTCGGAACATCGCCACATTATTTTATTTTTATTAATTTGAACCTATCCACGTGACTTTACCGACAGACCCAAGGAGTATTCTTTTGCTGTTAAATGTTCAAATCACCAAATAAATGAACTCTACCGCCACCTCCTGCACGGCAGGTGGCGGTACACGCCACGTCTGCAGAATTGTCAACGCAAACCTCCCTCGACCGCGTGGGGGTTTCTCCAGGTTACCTAACCTCCAAGTTTAATTCTCCCACACACGTGGACTTGGGCAAACATCCCGATGCGTCGGGTGGAGGAGGGTATACGAAAATGACCAGGTGAATATTCACATACGGTATACGTTTACGACTACGTGAATATCTTCTTTGGTTCTTTCGGTAAAGTCACGTAGAATGACTACGTGAATATCGTTGAATGTGAATACGCTTTGTATGAAGTGGACACATTTGCTGTCTGGCATGGCATCTATCGTCAGATATCAGTCTCCACTAATACAGCACGATTAGCACGGTCGGTTACGTACGGTGCGAAAGAAGTTCTACGTACATACATCTAATCTAGTTTATATTTATAGAGTGCTTTCAACGTAAGGCGCTCGGCATAGCTTACAAAGCAGTGACAGCATAGAGTGATTTAGATGGCAGGGGCGTGCTACAAGGATAGGAATGAGTAACAGCGATGGAGGGGTGCTTAGGAATGACGAAGGGGTAGGGATGGGAAGGAGTGGAGGGGCGAGGGGAGGGGACAAGAATGGGCGAGAAATAAGAGGCGAGTCCAGTTAAAATAAAATCATCGCATTTTCGAACTTGAAACATCGGTTTCCGTAGCCAATACAATGACCCATATGTATTTTTAGGGTTGGGCCACGTGGTAGTTCCATACCACAGGGGAGTCTACTCGACTTCTGAGTTCACAACCTGATGAGGCTCAAAGTCGTCTTAGCTCAAACGCCGTCGCACACTCTGATGTTAAATTACGTCATGAAAGGGTGGAACGGTGGCTACGAGATGTTAACTACCTCGCCCGGTGTGCAGCAGGTCGTGCGTTCGATCTCAACCGTGACGCCTGCTGCTGCTGTATATTTGGAATCCGCAGTGTCGCTCTCTCCCAGCGGCCTCGTGCCTTCTGCTCCGGGTCCTCCGGGTTTTTCCCTCGACATTTAGAATCAACATCACGCGTTTAGAGTATGTGGCTGCTATACGCTTCCACGTGACGAGCCGCTTCGTTGGGCTATCATTTGTGGCCAGGTCGCTTCTGAAAAAAAAGAGTTACACAGCTCAGTGGGGCCTCACCTGGTAAAATAAATAAACGTGTTTCGTTTTTGGTTTAACTTCTTTAATCGTCAGTGTGGCGCTTAAATGGTCAGAACATGACCGATACCGTACTTTGGCACGGTATGAATGATACCTCGGCAAAAACGCGACAATCTTGTCGGGTGGTGGAGGGTCACCGACGCGACGTTTGGCGTACACCCGACTCTGTGGCCTCACTCGATGAAACGGGAGCGGAGGTTTTTGCCGTCGCGTTGACTGCGCGGCGGGCGCAGGCCGCCCCGCAGGCGGGTACCAGATGCCGTACGGCGACCTCGTCCCGGAGAAGCCCACGCTGGAGGAGATGGCGGAAGTGGTGCACGTGAAGGGACTGCGGCCCACCTTGAGTCCCCACTGGCCGTCACACCCGGTGAGACGCAGACTCCGCATCGGCGCACAGCCACTGCGACGGGAGCTGGTGCCGGCAGAGGACACGTTACTCCTCACGAGTAGTCCCTGCCCCGCCAATAGCGAACGCGGTAAAACCTTGGGATTGCGAGTAACTCGGCCTGCGAGTGTTTTGCAAGACGGGCACATTTTTTTAAAATAAATATTAATTTGATAAACGAGCGAGGGTCTTGCAACACGAGCAGTGCACGTGTAAACGCTTTGTCTGCCGAGCGTCACGTGATCACACAACCGATACACGAGTGCTTTGATATACGAGTGCTTTGGATTACAAACACGTTTCCGGAACGAATTGTGCACGCAACCCAAGGTATTACTGTATTTGTTCTCTTTCCCAATATTTGTACCCTGTTACTTTCATTACAAAGTGATCTTTATTTTGCATTTCCAACTAAAGCCTTCACTTTACGACTACCTTTATAACTTATCGTGTAGATTTTCGCAGACAATATTTTGATTCATAATCGATTTCAAGGTTAAGCCATCCAACGATCTGGCCAAATTATTGTCGTCAGACGATCCACTGCCCAACAACAGCCGAAACAAAATAACTTGCTGCCATGCACAAGCGTTTTGTTATCGTTTCAGCTCAAAGGTGGACAACGAATGTCACAACCGAAATGTGGCAGAGAGACACGCTGCGTTGCACTTGAAACTGCGTCAAAGCATCTTCAGGGAAATCCAGAATAAGTCAGAATAACTGTCACCTGACCCGGGCTTCTTACTTGTTTACGAAACAATTGATGAGTCGACTTTCGGTCTCCGTTTAACTTTTTCCTCCCACCAGTTTGATCTTCACCACTTTGGCCGAACCAATGTAATTTTAGCTTTGTCCTTACCTGGCCGGCAACTAACCATAGCCAACCCGAACCATAACCCGAATGCGAAAGGTTTTCATAATGGTTGGAACAAATGTTCATTCCCATGGGGATAGGTGGGGTAGAACAAATGTTCATTAGTAGGAATGTATATCTATCGTTTTTGGAATTAGGAATGAGTTTTGCATTTTAAAAAAATTAGGATATTGGATTTTGGGCCGAATTTTGTTTATTATTTAATGTTTTCGGATTTAAATTAAGTAACTGTGATCGTCGGTGTGCTAGATTTAATACTTATGATAATGTTTGTATAAGTAATTATAATATATTTTTAATGTAAAATTTCATATGTGAAAAATAAAAAAATTGACGGTGTGTTTTGGCAAATCGCCTGATGATGCTGGATGTAATTACCAGCGAAATGTCACAATACTCAAATTGTAAATGTTGTGGATCCACTCTCCAACACACCGGTGGGCTGAAGTAGTAACTAATTTGCGTGTTGTTTACGTGACAAATCCCTTACTGATTGGCTGTGTCAGGTGGTGGGGGGCTACGACTCATTTATACTTACGCGATCGAACCCAAAAACCGTTCTTATGAAGAATATTGGTCGCGAAAGCCTCCTACGTGTTAAATCTATTCTATTTCGCATTTAAATAGCGCCCTTTCTCGGGTGCTTTAAGACGCAATCCGACGGCGTTCAGCGAGGAAGGCGATGGAATGGATGGAGGGACAGCGGCTGGGAATGGACCTGATGTTGGTGCAGCAGCTGGAGATGGATGGTCGCATCGTGAGGCCATGTTGAGGCCTTCACCCAGCAGTGAATAGGTCATGGCTTATTCAGATGATGAATCTGACGATGTGGCCTCCGGTACTTTCAGGTACAGCAGTGCGCGTTGTATTTTGTTTAATTATCGCAAGGATCGAATTTAATCCGTCACAGGAATTGTCATCCGAATGCCTCACTTGACATAAGTCGTGGAACTGCAATGCCAAATCAGTGAGTGCCCTTAATATTGTTTCCATTGTTGGCGCGCGTGTGTGCGCGCGCAGATTCTGAACGACTTTGCGCGCACCATGACCAAGTGCTGGACGGCCGCTGCGCACCTCAGGCCAAGTGCGAACGAGGCCCTCTGCGCCATGAACATCTTGAAACTCAGAAGCACCGTGGCGTCGCCAGCGCCGAGCCCCTCCCTGTGACGAGTCGGTTGTGGAAAGAAAATGACAAACAGCGCAACTCCGTTCCAATCCCCGTCGATGTCGAGCGCTTGCGCGGAAGCTTTGGATCGATTGCGCTGACGCGGTACACCCTCCCCCCCCCGGACGATGGGAGGAAAGAGCCGCGTGGTTCCATTGATCTGCGGGAAAAAAAAATAATCGCGGATTTTGCAGGAGAATCGCGGCGCGTGGCCATCGGCCACAGCAATCCAAGGTAAATTCGCCGATTGCAAGGTCGCGCTTGTTTTTGTAACCACCAAGCGGCGCAAATCTGCCGTATATGTCGATGTTAAAGGATGATTTAGACTTGAGATCAAAAAGTAGAACAAATGTATCGGCTGAACAAATCACGTCAGCACAAGCGAGTCTGCTTACGCAAACCAACAAAAAGATTGACCGTCGTAAACTTGACCTCCGCGATTCCCCTGCATCTCAGCGCCTGCAGCTCCACATTCGGGCTGGCCACGTCCACGGATCGTGGGTCTGTGCTCGACACAATGTTCTTAATCTGCCGCGGCGTGCTGCGGATTGCGGGAGCAGCTGCGAAGCGCCAACGATGTGCGAGTTGCAGGGCTTTCGTGGATTATTGGAGCGAGGGTTCGTGGAGTTCTGCTGTGTAACGATACAAGTAACTGAAGCCAGTATTCGATTGTAAATGTCGTGGCTTGGCTCTCCAACACACCGGTGTAGTGCTGTACTAGCGACGAGTTGGCGCGTTCTGATTACGTGACAACCCTTACGAGTTGGCTGTGTCGGGTGGTGGCGGGTATAACGACACATTTATATATTTACGTGATCTAACCCCCCCCCCCCCCCCAAAAGACCCTCTATTATGGATTAATATTTGACTGCGTAGGTTTTCACCATTTTGCTGTACAGCTCTCCAATGCTTCCCGGTTGTGCCGCGTGTTCTTCGGCGGGATATTCGATGCTTCATTCCACTTGCTAGGAGCTTCTTCAAGAACAGAATTCAGTTCTTGCAGAAGCTCCCCGTACATGGATTAAAACTGGATTCATTTCCTGAATAAACTCCCGGTGTGTGGAACAAATCGTCAGATATCATAGCGAACAACGCTCGGTGCAACCATAGAGCTTTCACTGTTATTTTGAATTCTGTTATTGCATGCAGTCACGTTACAAATGTCACACCTGTATGAACACGATGTACATGCACACATTTAAATAGCCGCATGTCTACACTGGCAGTGCATTATATGTGTAACACAAGGACCGCACATGGTCATTTATATATACTGTACGGCATTTAGAAAACATGATATGTGCCAATTAAAACACACGTCCCTGCTATGTAGTCAGGGTGAGCTTTCGGTTATAGCTGAGATTATGGTGATAGCTGAGATTTTGGTGATAGCTGAGATTATGGTGATAGCTGAGATTATGGTGATAGCTGAGATTATGGTTATATCTGAGATTTTGGTGATCGCTGAGATTATAGTGATAGCTGAGATTATGGTTATATCTGAGATTATGGTGATAGCTGAAATTATGGTGATAGCTGAGATTATGGTGATAGCTGAGATTATGGTGTTAGCTGAGATTACGGTGATAGCTGAGATTTTGGTGATAGCTGAGATTATGGTGATAGCTGAGATGGAAGCCAGGTCTGGTTGGTGTTAAACCGACTTTGGTCAGTGTTAAATCTGCATATGGTCAGTGATAAACTAGGAATAGCGTGCTTTGTTATTACAACAAAGTCGAATATATCATTGTCTTATGATAATCTAGATGTGATCAACAGTACCTATGTCAATACAAATATTATTTTTTGATTTCCCAATTCTTTGTTTGTTTCTCAATCCGCTTGTCCTGGTGAGGGTCGCGGGGTAGCGGCGTGTTGAGTTGTGCCGGTCCACCTCTCACTACTACACTATACACTACACTATACACACTATACACTACACCACTACACCATACACTACACTATATACTACACTATACACTACACTACACACCACTACACTATACTCTACACTATACACTACACCACTACACTATACACTACACTATACACTACACTATACACTACACTATACACGACATTATACACTACACTATACACTACACTATACACTACACACGACATTATACACTACACTATACACTACACTACTATACACTACACTACTATACACTACACTATACACTACACTATACCACTAAACTTTACACTATACACTACACCATACACTACACTATATACTACACTATACCACTACACTATACACTACACCATACACTACACCACTACACTATACACTACACTATATACTACACTATACACTACACCACTACACTACACTATACACTACACTATATACTACACCACTACACTACACACTACACCACTACACTAAATACACCACTACACTATACACTACACCACTACACTATACCACTACACTATATACTACACCAATGCACTATACACTACTACACTATATACTACACCACTACACTATACACTACACTATACACTACGATACACTACAGCGACGTGTTGAGTCGTGGCGGTCCACCTCTCCCTGGCCACAGACTCCAGCACAACATTACTATACACTATACACTACACCACTGCACTATACACTATATACTACACCACTACACTATACACTACACCACTACACTATACCACTACACTATACACTACACCACTACACTATACCACTACACTACACACTATATACTACACCAATACACTATACACTACTACACTATACACTATATAACACACCACTACACCATACACTACACTATACACTACGATACACTACAGCGACGTGTTGAGTCGTGGCGGTCCACCTCTCCCTGGCCACAGACTCCAGCACAACATTACTATACACTACACTATACGCTACTACACTATATACTACACCACTACACTATACACTACGATACACTACATAATTTAGGGGCAAACATTTGTACTTTTGTGTTTTTTTAACACAACCCTGAGAAACAAATTGTCTAATATTCTTTGATTCTTTCGGTAAAAGTCACGTCGATAGAAAATAAAAAGGTAAAAACCCACGACGTTTCGATGGTCCTCATGTGAACAAATACAGCTGTCGGACCGTTGAGAGAAATATAGCGAAAAGAGAGCTGCTTGATCCAAATGCAGAGCCTCTGCAACCAAAGGTCATCGATGCCAAACACAATACAAATATTACATAACACTGCAAATTCCCCAGGAAAATGTGTTATGTTGAAATGTATTCCCACAAAGAACACAACACAAACCCAATAAATATGCAGCGTTGGACGAACGTTGGCATGTGGTTGGAAGCATTGTCGGGACGTTAGCCGAACGTTCAATGTTTACTGGGAAGGAGCTAAACTACTACAGGCACAAATACTCTGTAGTCCAATTTGTGTATGTGCAACTAGACACATCTGAAAGAAATATTTTCCAATTTGGGGACCCACTAACTGTGGAGGGGTTATTGTATTTTTTTTTACATTTTAAACCTAGGCCTCATCACGCTTTTATTGGGAGGTTTTTAAGGGTGTTTGATCAAAACATATCATACATTTGATAATCCAACGTGTTCCGTCCTGTTATTATTCGAAGTGTGTGAATAGAAATGGAAAACAAAAAGTGATAGTCAATGTTCGTACAAGAATATTACTGAATAATCACAAGCAACGGTCTATCCATTTATAGATTGGAAGTTTGGTCCTGGTAAACATGGCAACGTTTACTCAACAAGCATCGCTTGTTCATTGGGATGAAGGGAATCATCGTGGGAATCACACAGAGAGAGAGAGGAGGAACGCGCGGATGGGGGAACATGGAAATCGGAGTCGTTTTGTTTACTGGTCGTGAAATAAAGTGGGCTTGGAGCAGAGGAGGGCCGTCAGGGCCAGCAAAGCCTTCTCTGCTGGCCTAGAGATTGTCAGAAGCAGAAAATTATATTTTTTATAATTTAATATACGTTCATTAATGCTGTATGTATTTTACAAAGTTCGTTCCCATCAGGTAGGTATTAATCAAATAAATCACGACGTTTCGGGCGCAACACAAGCGTAAGTCATCAGGTGGGAAAGCATGTTTGTTTGCATGGTTAATGCGAAATTGATTCCTTGCAAAATGTTTCCATTTGGTGTTTGAACATCTTAACACCTGTTTTATTGCCAGAAAGGATAAAAACCTAATCTTTTTTTCGTGATAAATACTTGACGTGCGGAGAGACGAATATGTTAATGTCCAGCAAACCCCCGGTCTCACGTTTGAGATGCGTTGCTGAAATGTGCGACGACGAATATCGAAACGACGTTCATCGAAGCGATTTACAGGTGGGGTAGGCGGTGGTGGTGGTGGTGGAGGCTTAGGCTGAGAGGCGACGGATAACGAGGACGGACGACGATGCCGTCAGCGACGTGAGCGTGGGGTTGAAGCTAGTAGCAGTGATCATAATAATAGAGTAAGGACGTGCTTGTGAAACGGTGTTAAAGGGAGAGACGTATATCGGGGTATTTCTGTACTTATTGGGTAGTCCCTCGGTTAACAGTGACATCCGTTCACGGTTTGTCGGTGAACGTTTCGCTTCCTATAGGACCCCCCCCCCTCCGCTATGGTTAACATTGTGACTAACGGTCACGTGTTTACGCTGTGCACGTGGTGGCGCCAATTTCGGCCAATCGGAGCGCTTGTAAAGCGGGGCTGAGTTGTGCCCTCAGCCAATCAGCGTTTCGACCTCGACTGGCTCTGTCTAACATTGTACAATTTCTCCTTTGGCAGTGGAAACGGCTTTTCTGTTGTACAGACTCAGCGATGCTTCTGTTTACTTACTAATTGTTCTACTTATAAGTGAATTCGATCGACAGTTATTCCTTTACTTATGTTCCCCAAGAAAGATGCCGATTGATGACGACTTCGAGTTATCCTGACACCGACCACGAGGCGGAGGCCGCGAGCTTCAAGTTCACGGCGAGCGGCACGCGCGCGGTGGCGGTGGTGGCGGCGGCGGCTTGCACGGTCACGGAAATTACGAGATCAGAGCAAGACGCGTTTATTCGTTCCTACAAGGCGATGGAATTTGGTTGGTGAGGGTTGGGTTTTTATTGCGTGTGGATTGCACCAACCCGGCCGGCCGCGTTCTTTGAGAACATCAACAGGCGA